TAGAGGTGGGGCTGGGTGTGCAGAGGGTTAGAGGTGGGGCTGGGTGTGCAGAGGGTTAGATGAGGGGGCTGGGCGTGCAGAGGGTTAGAGGTGGGCCTGGGCGTATAGAAGGTTAGAGGGGGCATTGGATTTTTAACAAAGTCTCTTGACTGGGGTGGCGTTTGAGGCCATGACGTCCCCGGGCCGCACTCTTGGTTCGGGTCTGGCCTGGCTGTTTTAACCAGTTGGAAATGTTTGTGCGTCTCCCGAGTGGGCACGTCCGTCCTGCTGAGAACACACTTGCCGTGGCCTCCACAGAGACCAAGCGACACTCTTAAGAAGCGAGGGGAGACGCGTTCTCTTCAAAGTCTCGAAGGTTGTAGTCATGGTCTGAGGCTGCTTTTGGTAACAAGAACGTGCTGGTAGCTGGTAGAACACGCTCATGTGTTCAGTGCAGTCCCCACGTGGGAGGACCAGCCATACCCCGCTGGCGTGCTCCGTCCCCCTTTTCTGTGCGTCTTTGTGTTCTGGACTCATCGTCTGTGTTACTTTAGTAAGCAGTGAAAGGACAGACTCACGCCTCGTTGTCCCCACGCGTGGGGCTTTGTCGTGAGGCCGCTGATGCACAGTCGGACACACGGATCCCAGGTGTGACCCTGTGGTGGTTACATGGTTATGTTTTCTAAGTTAAATGAATTGCTCGATATTCATCCAACTTGAACAAGTTGTTGCTAGTGCTTTTTTCCAGCTGCATAGATTGCCTGTAGGAGGCTTGCGTGTGTGTTTTTTGGGGTGTCTTTGGGGCCTGATAGGTGTTGCCATCTTCCCAAGCAGGCTGTGCAGAGGAGACACCGCGGTGAGCAGTGGTTGTTGCTGCTGGGAGTGTTGGAGGTGACGGGAAGGATGTTGGTCTCCTTGGTTTGAGTGAACGTGCTTGCTGTGTACACATTTTTCCTACTTGCGCGGTTCGTAGAAGTTCAGATAAACAGTGGTTGCTTGCTGAACGCTAACGTAGTTCCATGCTCAGACCCCAACCACCAGTCAACCCGTGCTTTCCAGAAGGGATGTGGGCCAAGCAGTGGAGCCCCAAGCTGCCCTCCTGGTGGAGAAGGGCAGGCAGGCTCAGCCTCCAGAGCCGCACACCCCTCCTGCGGGGAAGAGAAACTTGAACCCAAGCAGCTGTGACTTTGTCCAAGGTTGTCTGTGGGGTTGGCTGCGTAGGAGGGAGAACCTGAAACCCTCGGGTCCCTCCCTCCCTCACTCCTTTCCTCCCTCCCTCCCTCACTCCTTTCCTCCGTCCCTCCCTCCCTCCAAGAACAGCTGTACCAGGCTCCTGGTCCTTCATCTTCCATTGACTCCCGAAAGACTCGCCAGTCACCGCTGATCTCTGTGTAAACTGTCGGCCGTTATGTCCAGACAAAGGGCCTGAGCAGGAATCCACTGAAAACATGGGAGAGGAGTGGGGAAGGGCCCTGGATGGGGCTCATCTTGGAAAGACACCTATAATCCTTGGGAAAGACATTTAGACGTATTTTCTTAGTTGAATGTATTTGTAATTTTTATTTTAACCTGATTTTCATGGAACTTCAGATTTCAGAAAGGTTGCAAGACCAGTGTGGAGAACACCCACCCGGCCTTGGCCTTCGTTGCCCAAATACCAACCTCCTGCCGTGTCGGCCGTGTCCCTCCTGCTCCCCGCCCTGCCCCGGGTCTCCATCTTTCACCCTCACGTTGTTTCTGAACGGTTGGGAAGAAGCAGCTGAGTGGTGTCCCCCTCACAGGTGTGTCTGCTAAAGGCAAGCACGTTTCTTTCGGAATCTCTGCAGTGCAGTCCCCGGAAGCAGGGAGTTAATGATCACACACGAGATATCTTTTTCGGATCTCACCAACTGGCCCAAACACGGTCTCTAGAAAAAGAAAGTCTGAGGTCGTGCGTGCACGTGGCCGTCTCTGTCATCTGGAGCTTCCTCTGTGTTGTCTCCCTGATGTTTTTGAGGGGTGGGGCTGCTGTTCTGTGGTGCTGGCCTCTCTGTGGTGTGTCCCGCGGTCTGGGCATCTGCAGTCGCTCATGGTCGCACCAAGAACCTTACATCCTGAGGGCTGTGCTTTCCGCCGTGGGCACCGTACTGGGAGCACGTGCTGCCCGCCCGCCCCGGGACGGTGATGCCCTCTTTGCTGGCATGGCCGGAACCCACCACTCCTGCAGCTGGTGCCTGTCAGCCAGCCAGAGTGGCCGCCAGTGGGCTCTGGCACATCTGAAACGTACCATAGAAAATGCCCACCCTCTCCCTTGTGTTGTTTGCCGCAGTGATGAGCTCCTGGCCTGCCCTCCTCCGGCCACCTCGCATCCTACCTTGGCCGTTTCTTCTGGACCCTCAGCGTCCCACACAGTTCTGTGCAGGGCTAGGGTGGCTGGTCAAGGATGGGCTGAGCACCCCTAGGAAGGGTCCCAGCCTGGTCGTTCCCAGTCTGGGGGGCTGGTGTGCAGCTCATGGGGCAGAGGGCCCTGGGGTGCACGGGTGGGTGTGGGTTTGATGCCCTTCAGCTCCTCACCGTGCCTGGCTGGGGCATGTGCATTTGCAGACCCTGTTTTCCTGGTCATGGGCTGCTGGCTCGGGGGTCCTGGGCAGGCTGTGGTCTCTGCAGTGGCTTGTGCCGAGTTCCTTGTGCTGCTGTGACAGTCCCTGATGATGGGCAGGCTGTGGTCTCTGCAGTGGCCTGTGTCAAGGGCCTTGTGCTGCTGTGACAGTCCCTGATGATGGGCAGGCTGTGGTCTCTGCAGCGGCTGTGCTGAGGTCCCTGTGCTGCTGTGACGGTCCCTGATTCCCTGATGATTCCTGAAGGGCAGGTGATTCATGAAGACAGAAACTTCTCAGAGTTCTAGAGGCTGAAAGTCTCAGACCAAGGCCTGGGCAAGTTTGGGGTCTGGTGAGGGCCGTAGGTTCCCTGCCGTGTCCTCGCGCGGAGGGTGGGAGGGTTCTACTGCTGAGGGCTGGGTGTAGGGACTGTCATCCTTTCCATGCCTCACCACCTCCTACAGACCCCACCTCCTACGGACCCTGCCTCCTAACACCGTCACATGGGCCACTGGGCCTCAACTCGCCAGGGAGCCTCAAGTCCTCCTCCGCCCCAGCCCCCTTGCTCGTGCCCTCGAGCAGCTGCTAGGATCTACCCCCTGGTTCCAAGCCCTGGGCCCAGCCCCCGGAGGGGTCACCGGCCCAGCCTTCTTGAAAGATGCAGGAGTTGGGGGCTCATTTGCCTGGAGAGCCCGTGGGCGGCGTCCTCGGCAGGGACAGTGGGAAATCCTCTGTGTCCCTCAGAAACGGCGGATTGAGTAGCAAGGCGAGGAGGTGCAGCCTTGACTTTTGAAACTGAGAATTTTGCCCACATTTGGCTGAATGAGAGATTTTCAATGCCAGAGGGAGGCGCCCTTGCCCTGGGCTGAACAGCTCACTTGCTGAGGCTTTCAGGGGCTTTGTCTTAAATGATAATGTGTGTGGGGGCTAGTGTGTGCCCTGGGGCTAGCGTGTGCCCTGGGGCTAGCGTGTGCCCTGGGGCTAGCGTGTGCATTGGGGCTAGTGTGTGCCCTGGGGCTAGCGTGTGCCCTGGCAGCGTGGTCGGGGCTAGCGATGTGCATGGGCTAGCGTGTGCCCCCTGGGCCTAGCCGTGGCCCTGGTCTGCGTGGGATTGGCTAGCGTGTGCCCTGGGGCTAGCGTGTGCATTGGGGCTAGTGTGTGCCCTGGGGCTAGCGTGTGCCCTGGGGCTAGCGTGTGCACTGGGGGCTAGCGTGTGCCCTGGGGCTAGCGTGTGCCCTGGGGCTAGCGTGTGCATTGGGGCTAACGTGTGTCCCGGGGCTAGCGTGTGCCCTGGGGCTAGTGTGTACATTAGGGCTAGCATGTGTCCTGGGGCTAGCGTGTGTCCTGGGACTAGTATGTACTCTGGGGCTAGCGTGTGCATTGGGACTAGTGTGTGCCCGGGGACTAGCATGTGCCCTGGGGCTAGCGTGTGTCCTGGGACTAGCGTGCACCGTGGGAAATGCCCCTTTCTTTGGAACACAGATATGTGGAAGGAAGGGGTAGTGTCACCCTTAGCCATGGCTTGGAGGTGACAGCTGGTGGGGACCAGGGCCCTCCATGCAGGATCTGCGGTTGGCCTTCTGTGCCTGCTTTTAGTTCCTTCTATGCTGACTCTGAACTGTTTTTCCCTCACCAGGAGATGGAAATCCAAGAGAAAACAGCCCATTCCTCAACAATGTTGAGGCGGAACAGGAGAGTTTCTTTGAAGGGAAGAACATGGCACTTTTCGAGGTAACTTATTAGAAGAAGGTGCCAGGGCCATTGCTTTGGTGTGGAAAAGTAAAGGAGCCCCTGGGGGCCCCCAGGCCAGGGCCTCCCACAGGACTGGACACCACGTGGAAGGAACTGGGGCCTCCCTGTCCCGAAGGCCATGGAGGGGACCCAGTCCCACACCTGACCTGGGATGTGGTCCTCGACGGGCGCCTTCTGGGGTCCTTCCTGGATCGAGGTTGTTCCAGCCCCATGGGAACCCCTCAGAGCTGCTGAGTGCTGGCCATCCCGGGGTCCCTGCCATGGGTGGGTGGTCCCACTCAGTGAGGCCTGGAGCCCCAGCCTCGGACTCAGACCTCCGCACAGGTGTCCAGGCCTCTCTGGCTGGCTTCAGACCCAGGGGCACAGGACCGGGCAAGAGCCTGAGCTCCACAACCTGAACATGGGGAGGCAGCCCGGGGGCCTAAGGCGAGGTGAGGGCCGCCTGTGACCCATGTCCACACCGCACAGGAGGAGATGGACAGCAACCCCATGGTGTCCTCACTGCTCAACAAGCTGGCCAACTACACCAACCTGAGCCAGGGCGTGGTGGAGCATGAGGAGGACGAGGAGAGCCGGCGGCGCGAGGCCAAGGTACTGCTGCCCTGCCCATGCCCGGCCAGTCCCCACCCTGTGTGTCCTGGTAGGTCAGATCACGCCAGCAAAGCAGTTGCTTGTCAGAAGAGTTGCCCTAAGCAATAGTGTCGTGGCCCCGTCCAGCCCTTTCTTTCTGGGAGGACTCGATGGTGCCTGCCCTGCAGCTCCGGTCCAGCCCTCTTCCCTCTCCACTGTCCGAGGAAGCATGACATCCCCCACACAGCTGGGTGGCCGGGTTCCCTGTCGAGAAACGAGCTTGGGCTGTTTTGTTCGTTCTGCGGGAGTGGCCCTGTCCCCTGCTGTGGAGAGAAGTCTGAATGGTTCCGAGAGGCCGAGACGTGGCCCCTTTCAGAGGGTGCTGTGGCCTCCGAGCCACCCTCCTTTTCGTTTCCTGTCCAGGACACTTAGCCTGGTAGCGTTTTCCCTGCAGTTTTATTCCTTGAGGATTTGTTTCCAGGAATCCGTCCTAGGAAACGAGGGGGGTGCAGTGGGGATTCCGTAGAACGTTTTCCCCTGGGTGGTTTCTGTGGGCGACGAGGTGTGGAAACCCCTTGAGCGTCCTCAGGAGGGTTCTGCCGTCCCCTGCGCAGACGGGTTGCCTGAGAACCACCCTGAGGCCTGACACCCTGAAGTGACGCTCACAGGCGAGACAGACCCTGGACCCATGTTGGGAAAAGTCTCATGGGCGGATGAAACAAACGCTGTCCTCGCTGTGGGGGTGCGACAGGTGGTTCAGTTTCTTCTCAACTCCCTCTGCTGTTAAAATCTTCCAAATACGTGTGCATTGCTTTAGAATCGTAAGATACAAAAAACAAACAAAAAATCCACCGAAGGAAACCGTGCAGTGCAGGCTCCGCTGTGAAGCCAGGCGACGTCCTCCCCCAGTCTTGACACAAAATTGTCATTTCCCGAGTCAGCCCTGAGCCTGTGCCCCGCTCCTTCGGCAGACAGCTAAGGGCATGCATTGGCTTTTTAGGATGATTTTTAAATTCCCTTATTATTTTCCCTAACTTTCTAACTCTAGAAATACTCTCAGGAGACCCCTGTCTTCTCAGGAGGGAGGGTTTTGTGGCACCAGGTAGGGGCCAGTGAGCAGGAAGGAAGGAGGTGCTGAACCGGGTGCCCACCAGGTCCAGGGAGGGTGGCCCCCCTCCTCTGACCTCCACCAAGTGGGGCGTCCCTCGGCTGGCCCCCTGCCCTCCCCTGCATCTGCCTAGCCTGGGCTCTGTGCTTTGCATCGGCGCCAGCCCTGAGCGCCTCCTGCCAGCGTCCAGTGTTCAGCTGACCTGGGTCCCACACAGCGATGGGGAAGTCAGGCTCCTGAAGATTTCTCTTTCCTTCCTTTTACTGTAAACACAGTGGAATTAATACTGCATTTCCAGGATACCTGAAGACACTTGGTTTTGTTTTTGAGAAGCGTCACTCTGGGGTTGAAGTAACCAGAGACAAGTGAGGGACGTGACCGTGTGGCCACCTCGGGGTGGGGCCTGGCCTGACGAGGGCCCTCAGCCCTGGCTGTTGTCCCAGGACAGGGCAGCGGCCTCTTCGGAAGCTGCATCTCTGGACCTCTTTGTGGTTCCCCTGCTGGGCCCTTCCTGGCTGGGGGAGCCTGTGGCCGCCCCGCCTGTCCATAGCTCGGCCAACTCTTGGGGTGGGGCCATCACTGCTGCACGTGGACGCTGCAGAATTGGGTGTTGCCATGCCGGGCTCAGCACTCAGCACCTCTCTGGGGTTTCATGCAGCCTGGGCGCTACCTTGAGGCCTCATGGGCTCAGGCTGGTGCCCTGGCACCAAAACTCCAGACGGACAGGCCTTCCCTGTCTGTCCGCCTGCGTGCTGGAGTTTGTGTCTAGGGAGATGTTGGCCTTCTCCAGGGAGCAGGTGCCTTCCCACGGGCCTGGTCCGAGTGCTCCGGGAACCGGCTTCAGTTCCAGCTCAGCTGGGCTCAGGCACCACTGACCTGGCCGCCCAGCTCCAGCCCCTCTGCCTGGTGGAGCCCAGCCTGCCATGAGGTGCCCATAGAGCGCACACCCCAGCTTCTCTCACCCTACTTGGTACTGAGACATGAGGGAAGCGTCCAGGCAGGTGCGTTTGTTGATGGCACACCGTGGGCCAGGGTCCAGGAGGTTCCCACCTGGAGGGCTCTCCCCGGCCCTCCCTGGCAACCCTACCCCCAGGCCGGTGGCTCTCAGGCCTCTGTCCCTCGGGGTCAACATGCAGGTGCTGGAGGCTGGTGCAGCCTGCGTTTCAGTCGGGGAGGGACCAGGGCCCGTGACCCCAGCAGGCCTGTTGTGTGATGATGGCAGGTTTCGGTTGGCAGTGAATCCTTCAGCTCCCTTTGGGGACTGTGGCTCGGCCCCTGGGGTGGAAGGGCAGGGGCCGCCCCTCGTCCTCTTTGGCCAGGCTCAGAGGCTCATCCCCAGCAGACCTGCTCCCATTAAAGGAGCCTTTTCAAGGGCCCAGGCATCTCCAGCCTCCCGCGCCTGAAATTGGGTCGGGTTGGGCCTTATAAGTTGCCTTTTAGGCGCAAACCGAGAGGCTAAGGCCAGCCATGCCCTTTCGTGAGGAGTCGGGATCCCCCGCCTTTGGCAGAGAATCAGCTTCTGACTTGCCTGTCACGGGGCCGTGGGATCTGAGGCTGAGCCTGGAGGGCAGGGTCCCCTGTGTGGACGGCGTCTCTGCCTGGAGCTCTGCCTGTCGGCTCCTGCGTTAGCTGAAGCCTTGCTGTGAAGTCACAGCAACAATTGTCCCCGGAGCCTTGCTGTCACCCCTGCCCTGGGTTCTCAGTTTTATCCCATGAAAATGTCCCAAAGCCGATTCTCCTCCATCTCCCACCATGTCTGTCGTTTGCACCAAGAACAAGGCGTACCCAGATTTGGAGGGCCCAGCAGCGGCCCCCGGCCCCGTCACCCTCTCCTCTCCAGGGCCCCTGTCACAAGCAAGTTGCTCCCCTGTTGCTTCCCACCTAGGGCTCAGGGAGCCAAGTGCATCCCCCAGGCTCTCAGAGCCAGAGCTTCCCATGCTCCCGGCTGCTCTCTTAAATTATTTTCTCCAGGGTCCTAAAGTCATTGGAGCCCTAGATCTCTGCCGAGCCCGGTACTCGGCCTGTCTGTGGGAGGCGTTCTGGCACAATGACCCCGGAAGCCGCCCTGTTTGCTTTTGTGGTGTGGTGCTAAACGTGCTCTCCCTGGGAGCTGTCCATCACTTGGTCCCCTGTTCCCATCCGGTAGCCGGCCCCATCCCCAGGCCTGGGCTGTGTGAACCCCAGGATCGAACCCCCTCCTCAGCCTCCTCACGGAGCCTGTTCTGATCTGCGCTGTGGCCGTTGTTCACAGGAAATGTCTTCAAAGAAAACCTTCCCCGTTTTCTACATTGACCTTGAGGTGTTTTCCTGTTAAAACGTCACCTTGTGCTGGGGCCAGCTGTCCTCCAGGTCCGAGCCATGTGCCCCTGCTCACGGCGGGAGTGGGGCTGAGCAGGCAATGGGGACAGAGCTGAAACTTCTGCCCCAGCCTGGCCGGTCCCGAGCGGGGCTGGGGGGCTGCCTCGCAGGCACTGACCTGCTTCTGGCTGTGCTGCTGGTCCTTGCCCGTGCGGGTTTCTTCAGGGCCACGGGGTGTGTCCCCCTCTCTGGCACAGGTGTCTGAAGCGGGCTGCCTGCTCCATGCTGGGGCAGGTGGGGTGGCCCCAGGGTGGATATCTGAACCTTTGCTGTTATATTGTGGTGACCTGGGCCAATGCTGAGCTGTGGATTTTATTTTTTTAAATTTAATTTTATTTTTTTTAGCTTTATGGGCAGCAGCCGTTTCTTCCCTCCACCGGCTCTGCTTCCATTCCTGAAGTCTCAGGCTCTCCCCGGGTGTCAGGTCTGAGGCCCTGAGCCATCCAGGGAATGGAGCTGGGGGCCCTCCTGTTCTCCCTCTAGTTTTTCCCATAACTTTTCCAGTGTAACAGGTTCCCCTCCGTCGGGGAGGCACAGCAGAGCAGCTGCATCTTGGTTCTCTGCCAACCATGCGGTTCTGCTCCCCTCCCCTAAGCCCCCGCCCCCGGGATGGTCAGGGTCCCACCCTGGGCCTCTCTCTGAGCCTCCGTCTGTTCCGGGACGGACTCCTGTCCCCTCCAGTCCCCTTCTGCCCCTTCCTGCCCCCACGGCCGCTTTGCCTGCCCAGGGCCTGAGTGCAGCCTGGGGAGGGGGCTGCCTTCGGGTGTGGGGTCCGAGCCCCCGGCACACGCTGTGTTCCGTCGCAGGCTCCGCGCATGGGCACCTTCATTGGCGTCTACCTGCCATGCCTGCAGAACATCCTGGGTGTCATCCTCTTCCTGCGCCTGACGTGGATCGTGGGGGTGGCTGGTGTCCTGGAGTCCTTCCTCATCGTGGCCATGTGCTGCACCTGCGTGAGTCTCCCCGGCCAGTGTGGCCGTGCCTTCAGGCGGGGGCAGCCGGACAGTAGGGCCCTCCCCAGACACCCGTGTAGAGGTTGTTCAGCGCCGTCCCCTCCACGAGAGCCGGGGCAGCTGCGGGGATGAGACGCCGCACTGGCCGGGGTTAGCGCTGGCGTGTTGATTGGCGCTGGCACCTCATTTACCCGTGTCTGCAGAAAGGCATCTCGGCCGGTGGTGGGTGTTGTGGGGTGGCCTTGGGGCTGAGGCTTCCAAGGGAAGGGACACCCTGTGTTTTGACGACATCACCTCCAGTTTGGAAGGACCTTGGGTACTTTCAGGTGTCCTTGTCACAGGGAAAGGGGTGGGAACCAGGACACTGCATGCCTGGTGCCCGGGAGCCTCCGGGTCCTGGTTTCCCAGCCACTCCACTGAGATGGAGAGCCCTGGAGCTGGGGGCTGACTTTCGGCGGGAGCCAGGCCATAGACCGCGCCTTGGGAGTGTTGCGATGCCGGCAGGCTCTTGGAAAGCTCTCCTCAGATGGCCGCCTGTGTTTCTGCAGACAATGCTGACCGCCATTTCCATGAGTGCGATTGCTACCAACGGCGTGGTGCCAGGTAAGGGGTGCCTGAGTCCTGTTAGAGGAGTCTGTGTGTTTCCGCACGGTAACGGGGAGGAGGCCGCTCCGCGAGGCAGGGCCAGGGGCTGCCTGGGGGTCACTGCCAGGCCTTCTGCGTGTTCTCCACGCAGCTCTCTGGCGTTTGAGCTGTGAGGTCACGGCTGTTTGGTTTTCTTCCCCATTTTGCTGCATGGTGACCGTCTCTTGCCAGGGTAGGCAGTGCCCACCAGGCAGCGGGCTTGGGAGGGGGAGGCACGGGTGATTCCAGTGACGCCTGTAGCCTGGCATGTGCCATAGGCTGAGTTCTTGGAACCTGTATCTCACGAGGGAAGGTGAAGACAAAACGCTGCCCTGACCTTGTTAATTAGTAATAAATTAATTACAATACGTAATAACTAGTGAACTGAGATGTTAATTAGTAATAAATTAATTACAATACATAATAACTAGTGAACTGAGATGATGTTCATTAGCAATAAATTAATTACAATACGTAACAACTAGTGAACTGAGATGATCTTCATTAGCAATAAATTAATTACAATACGTAACAACTAGTGAACTGAGATGATCTTCATTAGCAATAAATTAATTACAATGCATAATAACTTGAACTGAGATGATCTTCATTAGCAATAAATTAATTACAATACGTAACAACTAGTGAACTGAGATGATCTTCATTAGCAATAAATTAATTACAATGCATAATAACTAGTGAACTGAGATGATAATTAGCATTAAGTTAATTATAGTACGTAATAACTAGTGAGCTGAGATGATACTGTTAGTAATTAATTACGTAAATAGCTAGTGAACTGAGATGATGTTAATTAGTAATAAATTAATTGCAATACATAATAACTGGTGAACCGAGATGATATTGTTAATTAGTAATAAATTAATTGCAATACGTAATAACTGGTGAACCGAGATGATATTGTTAATTAGTAATAAATTGCAACACAAAATAACTAGTGAACTGAGATGATGCCACGTCTGCTCCCTAATGCACGTGTCCTGCGTGTGTTAACGGCCGGGCTTGTTCAGCACCAGGTCCTCACGCAGCTGGCCCCCACCCCCACGGGGGCATTGCGTAGTGCTCAGTGGACTTCCCCGGCCGCAGGAGAGCACGAGGGCCCTCACCGGGGGTCTCCCTCAGCAGCCAGGGGACCAGTCTCTGCTTCTCGATGACTGCATCCGTTAGGGCCCCTTCCTCATGCCACACGCACTGCTCAGAGCAGGGAGAGCCGCGTTCTCCAGGCAACCCTGGGGTCGCTCCCAGCTTTCCCGTCAGCCATCGCATGCGTGGTTCACAGTCTACCAGAGAACTCCTGAACATCCTGGTTTCTCTTTTGCCTTTTTTATAAGCAAAACGTAGTGGAAGTGGGGGCTGGGGCTGCCATTGATGTACGCAGGCCTTTTTCCCGGACCTGCTGGGGCCTCCTGCCCCGACCTCACCTGGTCCTCATGTCCACGAGGGCACGGTCGGTGCGGAATGTGTGCCGAGCCTCGGGAGGGGAGCGTTTACCGTGGCAGCCGGACGTCTTCATGTGCTGCTTTGCGGTGGGCGAACACGCTGCCTTCGCAGAGACAGGCCCTCCTTCACTCATGAGCGACAGCGCAGACCGCACCTCAAGTCTGCGTCCAAGCGCGCCCCTGACCCGCGGCCGCCGCCTGTGTCTCCACAGCTGGCGGCTCCTACTACATGATATCGCGCTCGCTGGGACCCGAGTTCGGAGGCGCTGTCGGCCTCTGCTTCTACCTGGGCACGACGTTCGCAGGGGCCATGTATATTCTGGGGACCATCGAGATCCTTCTGGTGAGCGTGCTGCTTTGGAGCGTTCCCCACCCCACAGTCTGCGGCAGGACGCCAAGGGGCCCTGCCTGACCCGCTCTGTGGCACACACAGCACACGGAGCCATCCCGACCCCACTGCCCTGACTGTCCCTGGGCTCTCCGTGGCGGAAGCCGTCGGCAGCGTCCACTCTGCAGCGACCTGGGTCCCCTGTGAGCACCGTTGCTGCCCTCCGCGAGGGGTGCCTGGCATGGGCTGGGTAGACGTCTGGGCTGTAGATCTGAGCCCCGCGTGGGTGCGGCCCTGCAGTCTGAGCTGTTTTAGGGGCAGGGTTGGAACTGGGCTTAGAAGAACCTCTTGCCAGGATCCCAGCCCCTTCCCTGCCTGATTGATTTGGGCACTTGGCCGAGGGTTACGGAGCCCAGCAGTGTACGGCCAGGTGATGTCATCACCTTCCCAAAACAGGCTCAAAGCACGCCCCACATCACCTGAGCACAGCCAAGAGCTGTGGCCTGAGTTTCTTGGTCCCCGTGGGGACAGGAACCGCCCTCTCTGGCTGCTGAGCACCACCCTTCCTGTGAGCTTCTGAAACCCACCGTCCCCACAGGGCTTCAGAGACGCCCACCTGAGCCCTCATCCCCAGGCTTTCTGCCCCTCCCTCCGCTGCCAGGCCTGGTTCCCGGCCTCCTGGGCTCCTGCAGAGAGCCACATGGCCGAGAAGTTTCTGAAACCTTTCAGTGGGGTCGCATCCACCTCTGTCCCACCCTGAGTCCCCTGGCCATGCCCCTCGGTCTTTCCTGCCCCGGGTGCCATGGCTGCAAAGACACCGTGGCTGCCGCACTCCCCGGATTGCTTTTGGTGGGGATGAGTGCCGTGTCCTCCACGCCTACTGTACCCCAGTCCTGTCCTGGTCTTGAGGGAGCTGAGCAGCACCGTCTCGCATCTCCGTCCCTTGAATTTGGGCAGAACAGAGGTTGCACCCAGCCGGCGTGGTCAGACCCAGTGTTTGTCCAGGATGTCCAGCCGGGATGGGCCGAGCTCTCTGGGCGGTCACGTTCCTCTTAGCAGGTGTTTCTTTTGAGTGTGGACGTGCGGCCGCCCCGGGTCCTGAAGTTGCTTTACTCTCAGGTGCCCGGGTGACTCCTGGGAAACGTGCAAGCCCCTGGCCGTCCATTGCCCGTGCGCTGACCCCCGCAGGCTCCGTCCAGCACGGATGCCTCCCGATGGCCCCAGCGCCTGTTGGGAGGAGGCCCCTGTGTGGCGCTTGCAGGAGGGAGGGGCGCTGGGGAGTTCTGTCCGGGGACGGCCTCCCAACCCGTCTTGTCCCTGCAGACATACATCTCCCCGGGTGCGGCCATCTTCCAGGCAGAGGCTGCGGGTGGCGAGGCGGCCGCCATGCTGCACAACATGCGTGTGTATGGCACGTGCACGCTGGTGCTCATGGCCCTGGTGGTCTTCGTGGGCGTCAAGTACGTCAACAAGCTGGCGCTGGTCTTCCTGGCCTGTGTCGTGCTGTCCATCCTGGCCATCTACGCCGGCGTCATCAAGTCTGCCTTCGACCCCCCGGACATCCCGTGAGTCTCGGGGCCTCTGAGCCGTGGGTGGTGTGTGGGGCTGGGGCCAGGTCCCATGGGCTCTGCCCGCCTCTGGTCCGTCATCCTTGACACTGAGCTCCCCGCGAGGGGCGGGACTGGGTGTGACCACGGCGGGAACCCCTGTGGGCTCGTTCTGAGGATTATGGGAAACCCAGCCGTGAGGCGGGCCGAGGCATCCTCGTGGCCGGGTCTGAGCGTGAAGACCCTCCTCAGTGGTAGGTTTCAGGGGTGGCCGTCGGCCTGAGCACGGTCAGGTGGCACCGAGGGTCGTGGGCTCCCTTCTCCCTCCCAGAGGTGCTTGGAGAGTCTCTTTTCTTGTCCTCTTGGAGGAGAAGCTGGGAGGCGGCCCACGTCCTGGAACACGGGAGTGGCCGCCAGAGCCCTCAGGAGCGGGTCCAGAAAAGGCCAGCAGCCAAGCCCCTCGAGGTTCCCAAGTTTTTGCCGTCTCCGTGTGGAGGGAGCCCCTGAAGGAATAGCCTCATAGAGGCCTCAAAACAGAGGGAGGCAGAGCAGCCGCAACCCTGCGAGCCTGTTTCAGGGAAACACAGCTCTGCCCTTCCCTGGGGCGCCCGTCCTGAGACCCCTTGCTGATGCCTGAAGCCGTGGCCCTGTGTAGACTGTTTTCTACACACAGGCCTGGTTTACACACCAGAGGCGGCACTCCTGTGCTCTTGGCCGTTGGGACGTGGCAGGAGGGTGGCTTGGACTCAGGCACTGAGATTGTGACAGCCGACCCGGCCAGGACACCGCCGAGGGCCTCAGGCAGGAGCGACTGCAGTGTGGCTGTGTCGGCACGGGGGGTTCGCGGGGTTCCACCTCACTGGTTTCCACTGCGCAGTGGAAAACGTGTGAATTGTTTATGTCTAGAACACTTCAGTTAAGCATGTTTGGACCATGGGTGGCCGAACCATGAATGAGGGGACGGCTGTACGGTACAGCATTACTGTTGCAGCCTGGCCCGGTCCCGGGTCCCTGGTCCCCGGCATGATCCGTGACCCTTGCGTTCCTGCTGCAGCCTGGCTTGGGCCCAGTTCCTGGCGTGATCTGTGGCCTTCCTGTCTTGGGAGGTGCAGGGTGCCAGGAGCCACTCGCGGGTGACACCACGGGTGCCCATTGGAGGAGCCGAGTGGGGCAGTAAAAGCCACTTCGGCAGCAGCACACGGCCGTGCCTCCCTGTCCCGCCCTAGGGTCTGCCTCCTGGGGAACCGCACGCTGTCTCGGCGCAGCTTTGATGCCTGCGTCAAGGCCTACGTCACCGACAACAACTCAGCCGCCTCTGCACTCTGGGGCCTCTTCTGCAACGGCTCCCAGCCCAGCGCCACGTGTGACGAGTACTTCATCCAGAACAACGTCACCGAAATCCAGGGCATCCCGGGTGCGGCCAGCGGCGTCTTCCTGGGTGAGGCCCGCAGGGCTGCAGCAGGGGCTGGGGGTGGCGGCGGCCGGCGCTGGCCCCGGTGGACGCTGTCACTGTAGAGTCGCTCTCAGGGCCCCAGTTCCTCCTGCCTGGCCGAGCCCCTCCCCAGCTGCTGCTGACGAGCCTGGGGGTCCCTGTGCACACCCCTGGCAGAGCCACAAAAGCCAAACATAGTGTGTGGTGGGGAGACGGCCTCTGTCATGGTCAGCAAGCTGGTCTTAAAGCCATGGATTTATGTCCACGACCACCTGGCAGTGTGTGTGGGGAACTTGCTGTGTTAGTGAGGGAGCGGTGGCTGGGCGGTGACACCCCCTCTGTGCGTCCTTCCCTGAGGAGAGGCTGCCCTGGACCCGCCCCAGGGGCTTGAGGGAAAGGACCCCTGGCAGGGTACACGAGACCTGCTCCAGAACCCGAGACGGGAGGCCTGGGCTTCCCAGGAGTATGTTGTTCCGCACTGAGGCTTCTCTTTAGTGCTGACCTTCCTTCCGTAGACGCAGACAGGTGGCTTTCCCAGTGGTACCGTCTCAAAAAACTTGTTTGAATTGGAGCCTGCTTGCAGTGCACAAGCTGTGACCCTTCCCCTCCGGCCACCAGTGGGACCTGCCAGGGAGTGGCCTGCCCCGTGGTGTGGGCGCTGGACCGAAGGTGCCGGAAACCCATGGGATCTTCCTTGTCCGGCAGAGAACCTGTGGAGTACGTACGCGCACGCAGGGGCGTTTGTGGAGAAGAAAGGTGTGCCCTCGGTGCCTGTGGCAGAGGAGAGCCGTGCCAGCACGCTGCCCTACGTGCTCACCGACATCGCGGCCTCCTTTACCCTCCTGGTTGGCATCTACTTCCCCTCCGTGACCGGTGAGCCCGCCGCTCCAGCCGTCTCCTTCTCTTTCTTTCTCTCCCTCTCTTTTTCGCTCTGTCACCCAGGCTGGAGGGCAGTGTCGTGATCATGGCTCTCTGCAGCCTCGACCTCCTAGACACAAACATTCCTCCCACCTGAGTCTCCCAAGCAGCCAGGACCCCAGGCACACGGCACCACACCCGGCTAATGTCTATATTTTTTGTAGAGGGGGAGCAGCTGGGACCCCAGGCACATGACACCACGTTCAGCAAATATCTGTATTTTTTGTAGAGGGGGGTCTCCCCACATTGCTCAGGCTGGTCTCAAACTCCTGAGCTCAAGCCATCCTACTCCTCCCAAAGTGCTGGGATTACAGGCATCTTGAGTCACTGCGCCCGGCCTCTCTCCATCTTTCCCTTCTTCTGTCTCTCTGTCCATCTCTCTGTTTCTGTCATTCTGCCCTCCTGTCTCTCTCTCTCTCTCTCTCCTCCTCCCCCTTTCCCTCTCTCTCTCTGTCTGCCTCTCTCTGTGTCTCTCTGTCCCTCCCTCCCTCTCTCTCTGTCTCTGTGTCTCTCTCTGTGTCTCCCTCTCCCTCCCCCATCTCTCTCTGTCTGTCTCTTTCTCTCTCTCTCTCTCTGTGTCTCTCTCTGTGTCTCCCTCTCCCTCCCCCATCTCTCTCTGTCTCTCTCTTTCTCTCTCTCTCTCTGTCCCTCCCCCATCTCTCTCTGTCTGTCTCTTTCTCTCTCTCTCTCTCTGTGTCTCTCTCTGTGTCTCCCTCTCCCTCCCCCATCTCTCTCTGTCTCTCTCTTTCTCTCTCTCTCTCTGTGTCTCTGTGTCTCTCTCTCTGTGTCTCTTTCTCTGTGTCTCTCTCTGTCTCTCTCTTTCTCTCTCTCTCTCTCTGTCTCTCTCTGTCTCTTTCTCTCTCTCTGTGTCTCTGTGTCTCTCTCTGTGTCTCTTTCTCTGTGTCTCTCTCTGTCTCTCTCTTTCTCTCTCTCTCTCTGTGTCTCTGTGTCTCTCTCTGTGTCTCCCTCTCCCTCCCCCATCTCTCTCTCTCTGTCTCTCTCTCTCTCTCTGTGTCTCTCTCTGTGTCTCTTTCTCTGTGTCTCTCTCTGTCTCTCTCTCTAGTGTGTTTCTTCCTGCCCCTGCTTATCTTGCCTGTTTGGTTCAGGGGAAGCGGCTGAGGTCTCCGCTCTGTGTCCTGATGGATTCGTAAGACGCCCGTCTGCCGCTCTCCCGGGCAGGCCTGTGTCAGGAGAGGCTGTTGTAGGGTTGCTGAGAGTACATGGCACGCTATTAGCAGACGCCTAGGAGTGGCCTCGTGTGAGCTCAGAGGCCGGGACCTCGGCCCTCTGTGTCCTCCTCAGACAGTGGGCCTTGTTCTGACCGGGGGTGGGGCCCTTGTTGTTCCCCAAGGGGTGGGGCCGGGCCCCGTGCTCCCCCCGTCACACGCACACGCCCCCGGCTGTCTCCACTCGGCCTTCCTGTCGGGATGCCCCTGACTGGCGCTGGCTGCGTGTGTGGCCTGGGCTGCCCTTCCGGCCCCTCCCACGTCTGCTCCTGGACTTTATCTCAGCGCATCTCAAAGCCCTGGAGCCCAGGGTCAGCCGCAGGGCCCGGCCCAGCGCTGGCGTCTCGTGTTTACCTCGCCGCCCCTGAAGGTGAGCCCGTCTCACCGTGGAGGGGGCGATCAGCCCGGGGTCCTCTCCGTGTGCTTCCGCTCCAGCCTACGCCGTCCGTCTGCTCCCAGCGCCGTGGGTGGAGGGCGTGGGGCAGAGCCTCTGTGTGGAGGGCGTGGGGCAGAGCCTCTGCGTGGCTCCGGGTGTCTCTGTGCTCTACCGCACCAGATTGTGCGCTCTGCCACCTTCCAGGCCACCCCAAGCACGGGCGCTTCAGGCTGTGCCTTGGATGGGACTGAGCCAGGCGTCAAGTGGCCGCCACCGACCCGGCTTCCCGGAGCTCTGTGGGAGCCGATTGTGTGGAAATGCCCGCGGCCGTGGCTCCCTAGAGGAAGGTGGTGCCCACGTGGCACTGCAGCAGGAGGGGTCACAGCATCTGCCCGCCCGGCTGGCTGGGCTCTGAGTCATTCTAGGGTCTCATTCCGAAAGTCCTTAGGTCCTGGGGGGCCTGTGAGCCATTGCTCAGCAGCGTCCCTGGGCTAGCCCTTGGTCGTGGGATTAACGCAGGCTCCAGAGGAGCCCTGGGTGTGGGAGGTATGGGGGTCAGTGTTGGGGTCAGGCCTTGTCCTCGGGTCCAGGGGAGAGGTAAACGTGCCTGGGCCTGCGTCCCCCCAGCCGTGGTCCTGCAGCGTGGGCCGGTGGAGCTTGGACTGCAGCCTCGGGAGCAGCTCACCCTCGGGATCTCCCCAGAGACCACCTTTCCGGCTCTCTGGGCAGGGGCCGCCATCACATGGCACTGACTCCTCAGATGGGTCTTGGCAGCATTTTCCATGTTTGTAGGTATCATGGCGGGTTCAAACCGGTCCGGGGACCTCAAGGATGCACAGAAGTCCATCCCCACGGGGACCATCCTGGCCATAGTGACCACGTCTTTCATCTGTATCCTTGGAGGGGTGCAGGCGAGGGAGGTGCGGGTTCCAGCCTCTGCCTGGGGGGAGGCCCCCATGCCCTCCCCGGCCCAGCGCTGCGCCCTCGGCCACTGGCGTGTGACTTCCCGGGTGAGGCCGGGCTCTGACCACGTCATCCTCCCTGGGAGACGGGGCTGGGGCTGCTGTCAGGACCCCGGCTTCTTCGCCACTGTGTGATGCGATCGTAGATAAAACAGAAGCAGTCACCCTGCTGCGTGTGGACAGTGACGCGCAGCTGTGTGTGGTGTGTGCCACCGGCAGGCTGGGCCCGTGGGGTCTCTGACTTCTCAATCCCAAGGCTGCCTCTTTCCAACCGAGCATCGTCCCCTCAGTGAGGTCCCCTGCCGATCCCTGGCGGTCAAGCACCAGGCCAGGTGTGTCTCCACCACCCCAGGGCCCTGTTCTGTGATGCTGGACAGAGCCCTGGGAGGATGCGCTGAGGACGCGGGGGACAGGACGTGCCCGGGATGGGATGGGGTGCAGAATGGTCCCTGCCCAACTGGAGCCTGGGGCCAGCGCGTCCCCCCTCCTACCCCACCCCCCGTACCCTGAGGACACCCACCTACCCACCCCCCGTTACCTGAGGAACACCCACCTACCCGCACCCCGTACCTGAGGGACCACCTTCCTACCCCACCCCCCGTACCTGAGGACCACCCTCCTTACCCCAACCCCCCGGTACCTGAGGACACCTCCTACCCACCCGTACCTGAGACACCCTCTAAACCACACCCCCCGTACCTGAGGACACCCTTCTACCCCACCCCGGTACCTGAGAACCCTTCCTCCCACCCCGTTACTGAGGAACCTTCTACCCACCGCCGTACTGAGGACACCTCCTACCCCAACCCCCGGTACCCTGAGGACCACCCTCCTACCCCACCCGCCGTTACTGAGACACCTCCTACCCCACCCCGTAGCCTGGAGGGACACTACCTACCCACCCCCCGTACCTGAGGACACCCTCCTACCCCACCCCCCGTACCTGAGGACACCCTCCTACCCCACCCCCTGTACCTGAGGACACTGCACCCGCAGACCCGCCTTTCCTTGACGAGAGCTGTAGATCTCTCCTGCATTGTGCTGTTTGGGGCCTGCATCGAAGGTGTGGTCTTACGAGATAAGTACGTTTCCATCTACAGTTTCCGTGCAAAGCCTGTCGTCTTCATGGGTTTTCCTGAGGACGAGTTTGACTTTGAAATGACATCGCCCTCGGACTTCATGTCCGTGTGCAGAGCTGAAGCCGTCCCGGTCCCAGGGTTGGGATCCCCTTGGTCTGATGTGTGTCTCTTCCACTGGAGCCTAGAGCCTGGGGAACCGTTCAGAGCCGCCTCCAAGCCCTGATGCAGCTGGGGGCACAGGCCCTTCCTGGGGAGGCCACAGGGGTGTGGACGGGTGAGGCTTGGCCCTGAGAGACCCCCCAGCCCTGCTGCCAAGTGGAGAAGTAGTGGGGTCCCAGGCAGGTCGTCGCTGACCTGCATCCTCATGGGATGTGCCTGTCTGGCAGCCCCAAGGCCCCGGGGATCCTGGGTGGTCCCTGACTGAAGCTGATGCCAGGCTGGGTCTTCCCTGCTCCCAAGAGCGACCCTGAGGTGAGCAGGACCCGCTCCCCCGCTGAAGACCCTGCAGAGCATTCCGGCCATGCCGGGCAGAGCCTGGTGGAGGTTTCAGCCAATGGGGACTGGAGGCCAGGCCTCAGCTTTCCAAGGAGCCGCTCCCACCACACCGGGCCCCTCGGTGGGAGAAGACGTTTTGTCTGATTTAGGCACATTTCTGAAAACCGCCCGCCTGCAGGTTCGGGGAGGCCCTGCAGGGGAACCTGGTCATCGGCATGCTGGCCTGGCCCTCCCCCTGGGTCATCGTCATCGGCTCCTTCTTCTCGACCTGCGGCGCCGGCCTGCAGAGCCTCACGGGGGCACCGCGCCTGCTGCAGGCCATTGCCCGTGATGGCATCATCCCCTTCCTGCGGGTGAGCCCTGCGTCCTCGGGGAGGGGACCCTGGAAGGTCAGGGTCGGGCTCTGTTCCCCTGCGGGATCCTCACAGTGCCGTGTGTGGGGCACATGCCTGCAGCTTGGACCCCGTGGTGGTCATTCTGCCCCGGCTGTTGCTCTGAGCATGGGAGTGGTGGGTGGTGAGTGGTGGGCAGAGGCAACTCCAGCACTCCTGCCTGCAGGTCCCTCCGAGCGCAGCCCCGGGTGTGTCAGGAGCGGCTGTGAGGGCCCACGGCCTCGGGTCCAGACGTACCTGGTCTGCTGTCTGGCCAGAAGCCCCCTGCCTGCCTGCCACTCCTTTCTCTGTGTGGCTGAGCTCTTCAGCCCGTGGGAGGTGGCGTCACCAGCCTGCAGCCAGAGTGTGTGGCTGTTCTGAGGATGGCACAGATGCCCGCATTGGGTCCTGTCCGTGTGCTGTGCCCAGAGCTGCCAATTGTGGCTCCTCCTGCCACTCGGGCCCAGGGGAGCTGTGGGAAGGTTGTGGATGGCAGAGCCGTCCTCGCCCATCGCCGGTCCCTCAGCAGGGTGCCGACCCACAGGGCCTTTGTGTGGTTGCATCTTGTCAGTCCCAGCCGGGCCTAGGGCCTGGTGTCCGGGAAGGGGACGGACACACAGACCCCGTGGGCCTCAGCTTCTGGGAGGTGAGGGCGGCCTGAGGGTGAGAAAGGTCACTACAGGGTCTGGGGAACCGTGAGTGCCCTGGAGACGCTGGTCCTGTGTTGTGTGGTCGGGGAAACTGAGGCAGGTGGGGGGTGGGCTGAGGCCACACAGGTTGCAGGAAAGCCCGGTGTAGACACAGCTCTGAAGCCTCAGCCCTTTGTCAGGGCCTCTTCCCAGGCCAGCCGGGTGACGTCCCGGGGACCTACTGTGAAAGGCGGTGTCTGCTGGTCTTTGCCTTTAAGACTCATCTGGGCTGGACCTGACCAGACTGCAGCTTCTCTCCTAAAAGGGTGGTGTCATCTGCCCCATGTTCCTGCCCTTGTCCCTGCAGGTGTTTGGCCACGGGAAGGCCAACGGGGAGCCCACGTGGGCGTTGTTGCTGACGGTCCTCATCTGTGAGACTGGCATCCTTATTGCCTCCCTGGACAGCGTGGCCCCGATCCTCTCCATGTGAGCCCCCGCAGGACGGGGACCTGGGGTTGGGTGTATGGGCCTGGAGCATGGGGCAGTGTGGACGGGAGGCCCTGCTCAGGACAATCAGTAAACAGGCAGGGCCAGCCGTGGGCAGTCAGGATCCTGCCGGGAAGGGAGTTGGGCCGGGGAAGGCAGGTGCACAGGCCTCCAGGCAGGCACCGGCCAGGGTCTGCCGGGGACAGTGTGGCTGAACAAATGGCTGCTGGGGAAGGGACAATGGCCCATCTCTTGATGGACCAGGCGGCCACAGGATGACTGGGGCCTGAGGGGGCCTGATTCGGAGTCAGTCTGAGTCAGCTTATGTACAGAGACACGGGGAGACAAGACGCAGGTGGGAGGGACAGTGATGACAAGGGTGGTCTCCCAGGTTGCAGTGACTGGGGGCTTGGAGGGGCCCAGCCGGCGCGTGTCAGTGTCTGGTCGTGCCTGCAGGTTCTTCCTCATGTGCTACCTGTTCGTGAACCTGGCCTGCGCCGTGCAGACCCTGCTACGTACCCCCAACTGGCGTCCACGCTTCAAGTTCTACCACTGGTGAGGCCGCTCAGCACGGGCGTCAGGAGCCCTGCAGGCTGGGACACCGGGTGCCTCTGCCAGTGGGGGAGGCCGCTCAGCATGGGCGTCAGGGGCCCTGCAGGCTGGACACCGGGTGCTCTGGCAGTGGGAGGCCGCTCAGCATGGCGTCAGGGGCCCTGCAGGCTGGGACCACGGGTGCCTCTGCCAGTGGGGAGGCCGCTCAGCATGGGGTCAGGGGCCCTGCAGGCTGGACACGGTGTGCCTCTGCCAGTGGGGAGGCCGCTCAGCATGGGCGTCAGGGGCCCTGCAGGCTGGACACCGGGTGCCTCTGCCAGTGGGGAGGCCGCTCAGCATGGGCGTCAGAGCCCTGCAGGCTGGGACACCGGGTGCCTCTGCCAAGTGGGAGGCCGCTTCAGCATGGGCGTCAGGAGCCCTGCAGGCTGGGACACCGGGTGCCTCTGCCAGTGGGGAGGCCGCTCAGCATGGCGTCAGGAGCAATGCAGGCTGGGGACACTGGTGCCTCTGCCAGTGGGGAGGCCGCTCAGCATGGGCGTCAGGGCCTGCAGGCTGGGGACACCGGTGCCTCTGCCAGTGGGGAGGCCGCTCAGGCATGGGCGCGTGCTAGGGGCCCTGCAGGCTGGGACACCGGGTGTCTCTGCAAGGCCAGCTGCCCTGGGCCTGAAGACCCCAGGCAGGTCCTCGACTGTTCCTTTGTGGAGTAAGCCCCTGGGCAGCTGATGAGACTGTGGCCTCTCTTTGCCTCTGCACCTGAGGAAGGCCTCTAGTTACGAGGATGCCCAGGTGTCTGTGTGCCACCTTGTACCTCCCGTGGTCAGCCGGCCTTCCCAGACTTGGGGCGTATTCCATCAGGACTGTGGGTCTTCTTAACTCCCCTCCTCGGGAATCAGGCGCTGGGTGGATGCTGCAGCCATGGTGTTGCGTGCACAGCCGAGGTGCTGTGTGCACGCTGGGAGCTGGAGCTGTGTACTGGGTCTTGGAGTAGCGGCTCCCACAGGGGCCCAGGGAGCCACGTCACCCCTCAGAGGTGGTTGGGTGCAGGCGTGGTCGTCAGGCATCAGTGACTGTTTTCCTGGTGTTAACAGAGAGTTTCACTGAGGGAGGGGCAGGGTCCGTGTGGCGTTGGGCCACCCCTGAGCCACTTGTGCCGCCCCCAGGACCCTGTCCTTCCTGGGCATGAGCCTGTGCCTGGCACTGATGTTCATCTGCTCCTGGTACTATGCGCTCTCCGCCATGCTCATCGCTGGCTGCATCTACAAGTACATCGAGTACCGCGGGTAAGCGCCGTTAGTCCCCCTCACAGACCCGGCGCACAGGATTGCGGGCCCCTCTCACACTATGCCCAGGGCAGCTCCCTAGAGGGGCCTCCCTGGGGCCCGAATGTTGTGTGCCGTCCTGGGAGCAGCTGGGAGCACATGCAGGTGGGCTGTGCTGTGAAAGCCAGGGTTTCCCTCCCGCCCCCAGCCAGGCCAAGGTGCCTGTACTCGTGGACAGTGTCTCCAGCCTGGAGCTCTTGTCTCGTGCCATCCTCAGCAGGCGGTGAGCCCATGGCTGACTATTCCTGCTACATGTCTCGCGAGGTGTCCCCAGGTTGTGCCTGTATTCACTCGGCAGCCACAGATGTCCTTCCCCGTGCCCCAGCGCCCACCCTCCCTCCCCTTGCACCTGCCTCCTTCCCGGGATCCAGCCACTTCCCTGTCACAGGCCTTCTGCTCCCCACCCTGCGAGGAAGGCGCCTCACGCGTGCTGGACGTAGACCTCATTTCCTCCATAGCCACGGCACCCTCTGACCCCGTGGCTCCTGGGACGGGCTCCCTTGAGGGCAGGGGTGGGCACGGAGGCCTCCCTCCTTATCCAGGGACTTTTTCCGGGGATCCTGTTTGCCCTGACTCACCTGCCCCCAGAAGTCCCCTCTTTCCCAGATGGGCTGAACAAGCCCCCCACTTCCTTTCCCGCAGTGCCGAGAAGGAGTGGGGCGACGGCATCCGCGGCCTGTCCCTGAATGCTGCCCGCTATGCCCTGCTGCGTGTGGAGCACGGGCCTCCCCACACCAAGAACTGGAGGTGAGCACTGCCCATGCCCTGTGTTCCTCAGATGCACAGAAGAGCCGTTTCTGAGGTTGGCCTTTGAATGGGGACCTTGGAGTCTCAGGGGCCTCTTACCTTCAGCCGCTTGGGCACGGTCTGGGGTGTGAACACTGCCTGGTGCAGAGCGAATTGCACAGCTGGGGGCCTTGGAGCACCGGGGGTGTCCCTGATGCAGGGCGGGGGTGTGGGGAGCCGGCCCCTCTGCCGGCACAGCCCTGGGCTTGGGGTGGGAGAGGGTGGCTCCTGCTGAAGCAAAGGCCATCTGTAGGAAGCCTCTGCCCCTCAGGGTCTCAGCGGGGGCCTCAGGCCTGTGCCCTGGGCCAGTGTCCCCTCAGGGTCTTGGCAGGGGCATCCGGCATGTGTCCTGGGCCGTTGTCTCACCTGTCCAGCATGTCACCTGTCCCACCTGTCTAACCTGCCTGTTCACCTGTCCTGCCTGGCTAGTGCCCACCTGTCCATCGGCCCTACCTGTCCCACCTGGCTTGTGTGGCCTGTCTCACCTGTCACTTGTTCAACTTACCCCCACCTGTGTCGTGTGTCTCCCCATCCCATCTGTGTCACCTGCCCCTTTTGTCACCTGTCCCGCCTGTCATATGTCCCCCGTCCCACCTGTGTCACGTGCCCCAGCCGTCCCGCCTGCCCTGTTGATGGGCTGTGTGCGGGTGTTCGGGTGAGTGTTGCTGTGGTAACAGCCGCCCCACCCCCGCTGCAGGCCCCAGGTGCTGGTGATGCTGAACCTGGATGCAGAGCAGGCTGTGAAGCACCCCCGCCTGCTGTCCTTCACGTCGCAGCTGAAGGCCGGCAAGGGCCTGACCATCGTGGGCTCGGTGCTGGAAGGGACGTACCTGGACAAACACATGGAGGCACAGCGGGCCGAGGAGGTGGGCAGGGCAGGGTCTGGGGGCCGGGCCCCTTTCCCACCTGGGCTGCACAGGAAATGCGCCCTGGTATGTCCTCATCGTGATGTGTCAACACGGTGCCGTGCATGGTGCTGCTGTGTTTCAGCCATGGCGGTGGCTTTGAGCTCGGAGCAGTGTGCTGAGGCCTGGGAGTGCCAGCCACACCCCGGGACGCTTGGGAGGTGCTGAGGGCCGTTAGCTTTCCAAGGGCAAACCCTGGGACCGCCTCCTCCCGCCGTGGGTGAGCCCGGTCCAGAGGCGCAGTCATGGTTCTGCTGCAAGCTCAGTCTCCTCTGCTGTTCGAGCTCACCGGGGGCCGCGTAAGCGTGATGCCCGTGTGCGGCCGAACTTCTGCCCACTCAGAGCTTTGTGGGGAGGGACAGGTGAGTGCCCTGCGTGTGTACCGTGCTGCTACAGTCGGCTCCCCCAGGACATCGGGGCCTGAGACTTCATGTCTTCATTTCTCTGATTTTCAAACTTCTTATGGGAAGCTTCTCACTGTCCGGAAATGGAATTACGACACCGTCAAAGCCCGTGGGGCCTGTCACGCCACCTGGAGTTACTTCTGTATTTCTCGCTAAAGCGGGGAGTTTCCGAGCGCCCACCTGCATGATTTTCATGCCGGGGGCACCTCATTCCCAGGCAGGGCTGGCTGCTGCCAGTGCCTTGAGCCTCCTTCTTCCCCCTCGTGTCTGTGGGAGTCTGTGGAACCTACACAAAGTGCCTGTTGTGGTGGTGTGTGTCCGAGGCCCCTCCCATGCGGTGCCCCCTCTGTCCTTGCTGTGGGTCGGGAGCCAGCTCCCTGCTGTCAGACCTGCACTGGGGCCTTGTGGGTGTGTCCAGGCATCTGCAGGTGGCCCCCCATCTATTTCTCTGCACAACCACAGCCGCACTGAGGCCCATCCAGATCCAGGCCGGTCAGCCTAGGGGTGGGAACGCAGCTCAACGTGGCTGTGGGCGTGTGGACGGTGGCAGCCTCAGGTGGCGTGACCTAGGGCCAGGATCCGTGGAGGTAAAACATGGCCCCCGCCCCTCCCGCCACCTTGGCCACGTGGACGGCCGCCCTCTCAGGCTGCTCCACAGGGTCGCTTTTCCAGGGAAGACAGGAGATGCTCTGGGCCTTCCCTTTCCCTGACAGTGGCACCATGGCTCACCACGGGTTCAGGCGTTAGCTGCTATTGACTGTGAACCCGTGGATTTAGGTATTGTGGTTTTCAGGGGCATGTTCACAGTCCTGGTCCCCGTATGTCCCTTTCCGTGTTTCTTATGCCATGCTGGAATGCTCTTAGGAGGAATCTCGGAGTTGGAACTGCCCTGATGGTGTGGATTCTAAGAATCCTGGCACCACCTGACCTCCCTGGAGGTGTGTGAAGGCGCGTCTGTGCACACGAGGGACAGGGCCGGGATTGCAGTGACGGGGGACAGGGCCGGGATTGCAGTGACGGGGGACAGGGCCGGGATTGCAGTGACGGGGGACAGGGCCGGGATTGCAGTGACGGGGGGACAGGGCCGGGATTGCAGTGACGGGGGGACAGGGCCGGGATTGCAGTGACGGGGGGACAGGGCCGGGATTGCAGTGACGGGGGACAGGGCCGGGATTGCAGTGACGGGGGGACAGGGCTGGGATTGCAGTGACTGGGGGGATGACAGGACGGCCTGCCACGCTCTGCCACAGTCATCACTGCCATGGGAAGAGCTGCCCTCACTTTCACTCTCACGTCTAATGCAGCTCACAGCCAGATCCTCTCCGGCAGACAGCCCTTCGGCTGGGGGCTCTGGGGCAGCCTCAGACAGGAGCCCGCTCTCGAGATGGGGACTGAGCCCACCGTGCCCCCAGTGCTCTCAGCGAGCCTTTGGCTGTGACTTAGCTGCATTGGTGGTGAGGGCTGGAGCCAGCTGCAGGCCCTGCCTTCCCTTGGCTGCCTCTGGGGTGCACTGCTCTGGGGAGCTATGTTCTCCTCCACTGTGGTTTTGTTAGTGTGAAATTAGAGAAATATGGGCAAATCTTTTTTTTTTTTTTTTTAGTTTTTATTTATTTATTTATTTATTTATTTTTTGAGGCAGAGTCTCGCCTGTTGCCCAGGCTGCAATCTGCAATGCAATGGTGCGATCTCAGCCCACTGCAACCTCCACATCCTGAGTTCAAGCAATTCTCTTGCCTCAGCCTTCCAAGTAGCTGGGATTACAGGTGCCCACCACCACGCCCAGCTCATTTTTGTACTTTTAGTAGAGATGGGGTTTCACCATGGTGGCCAGGCTGGTCTCGAACTCCTGAGCTCCAGTGATTCGTCTGCTTCGGCCTCCCAAAGTGCTGGGATTACAGGTGTGAGCCACCGTGCCCGGCCTGAGCAAGTCTGTAAAGCATAGAGTTTTCTCTGAGAAGCGTGCGGCTTCGTGACTCATGCAGTCGCCAGAGGCTCACGCACACCCTTGTGCTCGGTTCTGTGTGACACTGATTGGCACGAAAGGGGTCCTAAGGCGCTGGCGTTCTTGCTCCCCGCTTGTAAAGGGCCCGCTGCCCTCCGGGTTGAGGTCTGTCTGCACGGAGGCCTCTGGCTGCCGCGCCGGGCTGGTGCGGGGACTTGTAGTAACAGGGCCCCCCGACACGGTGCTGAGTTCCTGCCAGGCCAGGGCAGTGCCGCGTCCTCCTGAAACGCTGCAGTTCTGCAAGGTGGTTTTCCCAGCGGTGAGGCCGGAGAAGAGGGGAGATCCCCAGCTCCGACTCCTCGGAGCCAGCACGTGGGGTGAACACAGCAGCCGGTCCTGTGGGAAGTGGCCCCCGTGACGTGGCTCCAGCACTTGGAGACTCTCAGGGCCCCTCCAGTGGCTGCGTCCAAACTTGGCTGATCCTGAACAGCGCTTTCCCTGGGCTCTGGTCTCCGGCCAGATGGGGGCCCAGGAACAGAGAGCCTGAATTGCCCTGCAGAGGGGTCTGGTGGGGATGAGAAGCAGCCGCATAAAGGGGCCGCTGTGCAGCCTTTGCTGAAATAGCCGTGCTTCCTGCCGTCTTCCCACGTGACCCCTGATGCACGCGCTTCCCGGCGCCTTCCTGCCCAGGGGCCGCTGTGTCCACCCCACAGCCTCCGCCTCCAGGTGGTCTCTGCCTCGCTGGGGCCCCTGCCTCTGCTCGCTGGCTGGCGCCCCTTGGGGGTAACATGTTCAGGCCTTTCCTGACCTAAGCAAAAGTCTCAAAGAGGAGCATATCTGCTGGTCCTGCACCCTGTCCCGTCTTGCCCCAGGCAGCTGGGCAGAAGGTGGAGGTGTCTGGAGAGCAGGGTGTGGGCGAGGGGTGCCTGAGGAGGAGCGGGGCTGTGGGAGAACATTGGGTGTTGTTTTGTGTATGAAGGGCTGGTGGAGCTCTAGGTGTGAGCCAGGGTAGGGGGTGAGGACCCCAGTCAGGCTGACATAGGGGCCACTGGAATCTCGGCAAAGGAGGCAGGTGGTGGCTCTGGTCCCTGAGTGGTCCGGGGCTGCCGTGATGGGACAGAGACCACACAGCTCACAGCAAAGGGCGTCTATTCTCTCCCAGTTCTGGAGCCCGGGAGTCTGAGATGGAGGAGACCACAGGCCACGCTGCCTCCAGAGTCTCCTGGGAGGATCCTCACGCCTCCTCCAGCTCCTGTGGCCCCAAGGCGACCCTGGGCGCCGGTCACTCTGCCTCTGTCCATGCCTGCATGAAGCCGCCTCCTCCCAGTCTGAGAGCTCTTCCTGCCTTCATCCTGTAAGGTCATTTGTCAGTGGCTTCAGGGCCCAACTCTGACCCAGGATGCTCTCTCAAGATCATCACTTAATTACAGGGTTCTTCAATACATCCACAGAGACAGTTTTTTCAAATAAGCTCGCATTCTCAGGTTCCTGGGGCCGGGATGTGGGTATCGTCTTTTTGGGGGCCACCATTCAACCCACTGCAATTGTGCTCTGGGCCCTAAAATTCATATCTGATACACGTGTACAGTATGTTCATCCCATCCCAGCGTCCCCCGAAGTCTCAGCCCTGCACAGACCAGCAGAGTCCCAAGTCTCATGTAAATCTCATCGCTCAGAGCTCCCAAATCTCATCCTCTAAGCATCCAAACCAGAAGCCAGTGAAATGTGGGATCTGGTCCATGCTGGACAGAACTGCTCTGTCTGTAGATCTGTGCAAGCAAGGAAGCGGTTATCCCAGAACGCGGCAGGGGACAGTCCGGGAGAGGCATGTTTGCTCCAAAAGGGAGAATCAGGCGGGAAGGGGCCACTGGTACCACACAAGGCTGAGACCCAGCAGGGCAGGCTCTGGGGTTCCAGGGCTTGAGGTTGCCCGAAGATCAGAGGGCGGAAGGCCTGTGTCCACACACGTGTGGCTTTAGTGCGTGGCAGTCCCTCTGCCACGCTTGTGCGGCCCCCCCATGGAGTCGAGCCACTCAGACACCCCCAGGAGGAGACTACACACAGCAGTGACCCCCGACCCCGGGAGGAGACTGCACACAGCAGTGACCCCCGACCCCGCCGGGAGGAGACTGCACACAGCAGTGACCCCCGACCCCGGGAGGAGACTGCACACAGCAGTGACCCCCGACCCCGGGAGGAGACTGCACACAGCAGTGACCCCC